TCTGTCTCTAGGTTCAGTGAAGTGTAACAATGTGTGATGTGACTTCCCACAACCATCTACCCTGCACCTGATTAAGGACTTGCACTTCCTTGAGTTGTGTTTAGTTGAGTTGATACAACTGAAGCAAATCTTCTTCTGTTTTACAAAGTCATTTCTCTCCCTCGGAGACTTGGATTTGAATACTTCTCAACGGTACAGTGGATGGTGTTGACGGCACATTGCACAGGATTCAGGATTTGTTGCTGTTAAAGAATAGGTAAAACCCTTAGGAGTTCCTGACTTAGTAAAGAAAGGGTGGCTCAGGACAAACGCTCTCTCCTTAAGGAAATCTACAACATCCTTGAAATTTGGCATCTTCTGTCCCTTACGCTCGAGATTCCTAAATTGTTCGGCAAATTTGGATCGCATCCACTTTGGCAGCCGCGCGATGACTTTCTCCAGATTATCTATATTCATCTCACTAAGGTACCCCCTTGACTCTAAGGTATCATAGGTAACTTGCGCAGTATCAGCATAGCGCTGCAGGCTGTCCTTATCATTCGCCTGTATAGCAGGTCCCTTCGTAAGTGATTCAACACATGCTCTCACTACTTGAGATGGCTGGCCAAACCGTTCCTCTAGGGTCTTGAGTGCCTTTGCCAGGCCACCAGGCATTGGCTCATATCTCTGCACTGCGGTCAGGGCAGGACCGTTCAAGAACTGTAACAGACAGGTCATTTTCACAGCATCACTGAGAGGCCTGGTTTCAACCAACTGCTTAAATCTCTGACGAAAGGCTGGGCAATTTTCAGGGGATCCATCAAACTTCTGAACTTGTACATGTGGTAGATCATAAGCGGCACTCATTTTCTCCATTGAAGACATGATAGCAACAAGACTTTCATTCATAATTGAACCAGCAGCACTGGGCGTGGCTGTACAGGGGTTGATGCTTGTGAGACATCGGGTTTCTTCAGTGGGTGGGTCAGCAGGTTGTGACTGGCCGTTGTCTTGAATACGTGGTTTAACAGTCTCAAATGTACCCTCATCTGTAACAGTAGGGGTTCTGAAACTTACACTTGGCACTTTGAAATAAGTGTTTCCAGAAGTGAGTGTATTGGAAGTCTGGGCATTTACTAATCCTGGTGTTGATGTATGAGATGGCTTGGTCACTGGTACATTATTGGCACTAATCACAGATGGTAGAGTTTCGGGTGGCACCCTTGAGGATTGAGACTTTGAGTCCTTTAGGTCAAGATTTGGAGATCATTTGATACCCTCCAGGCCAGTGACTGGATCAGATATTTCCTGTTCTGCAAGGGAAGCCTCTAAATTGGCTAGTTCTACTTGATTTCTTGCAGCTGTAACTTCCCTTTCTGCTTCCAATTTGGTGAGTTCTAATCGGTGTTGCAACTCTAATTCCGTTCGTTTTATTTCCATTTCGACTCTTTTTACCTCCAGTTCTACTAGCTTCTTACTCCTTTCTTCAGCTTGTTGCTGCATAAGTAGGGCCTTCGCTGCTTCTATTTTAGCCCTTTGGAACCTGGAGCTACACACACTTGATTTTGAGACACGACTACCATTAGATTTCACAGATTCTGGAGG